TTATTCCAAACAAACTTATATAAACAAAAACATTTGTTTTATGACAAATTGATTAAAAAAATTTAGTAAAAAAATTCTAAATTTGAATGAAACAATGATGTTATTATATAAAAAGAAAATTATCTCATATATTCTAATTCATTGATAAATTAATAGTAACTCATAAATAACTTAGTAGTAATTCAATTGATAACTTAATAGCTAATTATTAAAAAGTTAGTAATAGATCAATGGTAATTAGTAAATGCATAATAATGTAGTAGTAAATCATTGAATTTAGTAGTAAATTACTAATAACATACTAATAAATCACTTATAATTTAGTTGTATATCAATAATAATTTAGTAATAAATTAGTTAATCATTAATAATTTTATAGTAAATCATCGATAATGTCATAGAAAATTAGTTATAACTTTATAATAAATTATCAATAACTTAGTAGTAAATCATTCATAACTTAATAGTAAATCATTGATAATTTAATAATATATCATAGTAGTAAATAATTGCTAACTTAGTAATTTTTTTTTTGTTTTGGTTGAATATTGACATAGAGCTATATTTTTTTAAATATGTCTAACATATTTGATTCATTTAAAAAATTATATTTATTGCCATTTAATATTAAAGTATTGACTTACAAATATTTGTGGATATTGTACACATATATAAATTATTAAAACAATATTCATGTACCAATTACTATAACGACATAATTTTATTAAAAAAAATCAATTTTTGAAGTGATAATTTGGAATGACTTTATCTAAATTTGAATGTCATCGATCGTCTACTTGATAATAAATTAATTGTAACTAGATTAATGCTATGTCTTTACTAAAAATAAATTGTTCTGTTACGTGGTACCTTTATAACACTAATAGCAACTATACAAAAAATTATTGTCTTTAAAGATACTTTTAAAATGAAAAAAACAAATAATGAGTCTAAACTTATTAGAAAACACCATAGAAAAATTACCTATAAATTATTTTCTCAAGTACATAATATTTTCAATTAAAATATATGATTTATTAATATTAATAATAGTACGAATTCTATAAATTATAATTTTATAACAATATCAATTAAATAATGATTTTTTATATGATTTATACTAGACATATAATTAAGTGTTCATCGAATAAAGAAATTACTCCATTTTAATTAAAAAATAGTTCAAATATTAAAAATATATTTATTATCAATTTTAAAGTCTAAGATTTAAAATATAGTTAAACTTCAAAATATAATAATATCTTTTGATATTTATCTAAAATAGGTCATATCTATTAATTTTAGAATTCTTATATTTCATTATTTACAATAATAATATTGAACAAAAATTAATTGAGAAATGTATTTCAATATTTAAAAAACAACATAAAAATACTATTTGATTATGATAAAATATACCTTTTAAGTAAAGTGTGTTATTTAAACACTTATTATAACATATTTTAATAAGTTATGCATATTTAATGGCTTTTTAAGAAATCAATATTCAATATTAAAAGTAGTTTTAGTCAATATCCCTTGTAAATATATAAATAAACATCATTGATGATTACATCAAGATAATAATAGTTCTTGATTGCTTAAAATCTTTTTTTTAGAATATGTTTATAAATTAATATTTTTTTAATTAGTAAAATTCATGTAAGTATGCATTTTTTTTCATATAAAATTAAGCTACAAAATTATTTATATAACATAAATAAGTACAAATCAAAAACAGAAGTAAGTGATCATGAAAAAGAAAACATTATGTATTTACTTTATTTGAAGATATAAAAACTTTATAACAATATGGTTTCAAATCAAAATAAAAGAATTTAAATTTTCAATAGCAAATAAATGAACGCAAGAGTTTAAATGAATTTAATGATGATTGATTACTTCACAAATTTATAAAATTGAAAACAAAAATTCACTAAAAAAAGTTAAAAGAAAAAGCTCAAGAAAAAGCATAAAATAACGAAGAAAAAGAAGTACAAAATCCAATTTGATTGTGATAGAAAACAATTATCTAAAAAATTTAAAAAAAAATGAAAAAATATATAAAAAATGAAAGAAAATGATGACCTAAAACCAAAAAACTTAAAAGAAAACTTCTAAAAAAATTAAAATAGTGAAAGATTAAATATTTATTCTTTATTAGAATTTTAATTTAAAATTTTTGTTATATTTATTTTTTTCAAACTTAAATTTATATTTCCAATTTAATTTAGTATAATGATAGTTATTTCAATTTTATTACTATAAAAGTATTAAAATTATTAAAATTATATTAGAATTATAATTTAGTTAACAATTTTGTGCTATGTAATATATTTTTATAACAAATTTCTTGATTTTAAGGGTTTGTAAGTAATAATTTAATATTTTATATCATAAAAATTTTTAAGTACTTAAATGAAGATGATTTACGGATTTATCCCATTTGCTTGTAAGACTGCATTTTGGCATCTTCTGCTTCATGGTTTATGCTTGGAGGAATGTCTTCTTTGATGTTCCAAGTAGGTGGGGAGCTTAATTTTCTCTAGATAATTAAGATTGCCTTCTACAATATAGTAATGATCAAAATTTTGATATGGTATGCATGAATTGGTCTTGCATATAACAACAGCTAAAAGTGACAACCAAGATTAAAAAAGTGCATTATGTACTAATTTTCTAATAAAAAAATATAAGCTAGTCAATTATCTTCTTACCTTGGGAACTATTAGACATGATTCTCTTATGGAATGATCAATATGAAATGCAGTTTGGCCATTTTTGCTCTTGGTTCTTTGATCCATTCTTTGATCCTATATCAAGTATCGAACAATCCAAATTTTCCTTCCAATAGTTGCCAAATGCAAAGGCGTATTTCCATCATTATTAGGCTAGTTTATAAGTCCTTCTGTTTCTGTTGTTTCCAGCATATACTTGATGACATTACCTTTCCCACTAAGGATAGCAGCATGTAGAGCATTACGCCTACATAAATCAAGAAGTTTTATAAATTTTGGACATTTTCAAATGATCTTTCTTATAACATTAACATGACCATTGCTAGCTGCAACATGAAATGGTGAGTGACCATGTTTGTCCAATATTTATACAACATTATTATCAAAATCCAATAATTGTTTCACTATTTTATGGTTTGTTAGAGATGATGCATAGTGGAGAGAGGCTTTTCCATGATGGTCAACTTCTTTAATCAACGTGGTTTGGCTCTTAGGAAGGCTTGCATGATACCTTACGTTTACACAAAAAATTTGTTAAGATAAAAGAAAACCATAAGCACTATCAAAGGGAAATACTTAGCAGAAATCTAATATCTCTATTTTGGTATAGAAATTAGAATTGCAAGAGTTTTGAAATAGTAAGAACTACAATGTTGTGTAAGAGAAATTTGTGAAAACAAATGAACAAAATGTGAAAATTACCATAATGGCTTTCAATGACAGCAACATGCAAAGCTATTTGGCCATCTAAACCCCTATAAGTTACGAACTTATTTGTTGATGTCATAATTTCATTCACTATCTCTCGCTTTCCTTCTCTGGAAGCAAGATACAAAGGCAATTCACTAGCAAAGTTTTCTAAAAAAGCCAACTTAGAATCAACCTTTAGCAAGAGTTGAACCACTCTAAGATGAACATTCCTGAGAGCTTCATGCAAAACTATGTTGTTTTCCTTGTTAATTATTGTCAGAATCTCAAACTTGCTAATGATTTCATCTTTATCAATTTCTTTCCAACCTGCCTTTGTAGCAATATGTAGAGGTGTATCTTTATCTAAAATTTGCTTTTATCAAAAGTGATCCATGCTTGCCATAAATCTCCATGATAATAATCTTGTGTCCAAATTTCACAATTGTGTTTTCTTGGGGAGTTACCTTTAAAAGTAGTATTGGATTTTGATATAGAAAATGTTTGAGGGAACAAACTTTGCCTAACGTGACATATTGGTTGAATTTTGGATCCATTGAATGATCATATCTAGAATTGTTAACAGGAAAAGCTTTTGATTCCCTAACTACATTATAAAAAAAAAGGTATATTCCCTTTTACAATCTGGCTCTATACGACATTCAGTCAAAATATCACTGGCCTGCCTCTTCATAGATTGAAATATAGCTTTTGCTTTAACTTTTACTAAATGAAAATAAAATATACATAGGTAGAAAATCATTCTAGGTAACAAATTCAATATAATTGGCCAACATGGACTATTTCAAAGGGTCCAAGTTTGTGACTTGATCAAAGCACAATATTACAAAAAATTACATGAAGGAAAAAGATAATGGAAAGTTATGTACAAACTTAGAAAGAAATTTTTTTTTTTTAAGTTTCCAAAGGTAACAGCTTCGTGACTTTTCAAGCCATGTGCAATTTAATAGTCTAAAGTTTTGTTCTTGTTTCTTTGGATAAAAGTTGCTTAAAAGCACAAAACATGAAAACAAATGCTAATCTTCTAAATATAAAATATTTGAAGCTGGCCCAATAAAACAGGGCTATCTTATTTTGCAGAAAAATTTTTTTACTGCATTTGCCTCGACATTATCCTTTGCTACATGACTAATTGAAATTATTGAAACCAACATTTATTTTGTTGCCAAACATAAACCATAAACCGATCAATTTCAAAACACAATAATTCATTTCATATGGCACAAAAAATGTGTATTTATTAAATTTTTTTCGAATTAATTTTAAAATTGAATCAAAATAATTTGTTAAATAATTTTTATTTTATTTGAATCTACTCGATTTAAAAAATATTATCATTAATAATTATCTCAATAAATATTTCGAATTTATTAAACCATCAAATAAATTGAACAAATTAAATCTTATTCTAATTAATTTGGATTTAAAATTATTTTATCCAAATTATTCTAGAGAGCACAATAAAACACTGTAGCCTATCTTACTTTGAATTCTTATTATTTTATTTTTTAATTTTAATTTCTTTAAAAAAAAGTTAAAATAATAATAATAAAAAAAAACAAAACAAAAAGCTTGAAAAATCTAAACAGTCAAAATTCCAATAATTCCACTGTTGAATTCAAGCCGATTGCCCACTGTATTGTTGTCCAACTTGCCAGCACAAAAATTGTAAAGTCTTTCTCAAATCTCATAGAATCGAAAATTTGAATTAAAGTGTTTCTCAAATCTAAAAAAATTGAGGATTTGAACTGGATCTAGCGAAAAATTGAGGCAAGAGAGGAGGTCAATCTTTTCTGAAAAAACTTTTGAAAGGCATTTTTTTCTGGAGGCCAATTTTTGGACGAAGAAGGTAAATGCCAAAAATCCAACAAGCCATTGCCTCCACCGGCAACCATGTGTACCATCATCCCATTCCCTTTCCTTTGCCAGCCGATCGCCAACCCAACCCCACCGATCTCCCAACTACCCCCCAGGAACAGCTCCCATCTCCCACCGACGCACCACCCACAGCCCTACTGAGATAGCCATCGAAACTGCCAACAAATAAATAGCAACTGTCACAGCCAAAAGCAAAAAATAAAAAAACCAAGCCATCAAAGCCAAAAAAAAAAATTGCAAACAACCACAGTCCTCTATTGAGGAATCCATCGGGAAAAAAAAAAGAAACAGAAAAGGGCCCGTTGAGGATGAAAAGGGGCTTTCGGTCATGGGATTTTTTTGTTGTTTTTATGAGTGATTTGGGAGAGTATTTTTAAGATTTTGGGAAAGGAGAGAAAAGAGCTATTTTTTTGGGCGGTGGGAGCGACGGCGGCGTATGGAGGTCAGCGCGGGCGAGGAGACTTTTGGATGATCTGAACCGGTAGAAAGGAAGGATGGAAGAGGAGAAAAAACATACTTTGGTTTCAGGACGACCGGACGGCGAGAAGAGGGTGAACGGCGGTTTAAAATTTCTGGTTAAAGTTTCAGATCTAAGCTATTATGAGGTGATTGCTGAATCTGAGACAAGAAGGAAGAGAGGAGTCCACGGCTGAAATTTTGGAGTCAACTGACGCCGAACGGGGGCGGTGAACGGCGGCCGGGTCGGCTACCGTCGCCGGGATCTGGGTTAGGGGAGAGTGGCCGGGTGTGTCTTTTTTGGAGAGAAAATGTTGCATTTGATACAAAAAACGGAAAACTCAGGTTTGATGCTCCTGACCCGACCCTCTTACAATGTTTGTATTTAGCGAAGTGATAAATGAATATGGAATTGTCTAATGATGTTGTAGATAAGGTATGTGCTACTGACATTTTTATTATTTTATATATTTTATCTAATTACATGTATGTACAGTAAAAGAAAATATTAGAAGAAATTGATAAGTATGAAGGTAGTTTGGAGGCATTTTTTCTTGGCTATGAGAAGCTCGACTTCACATGTAGGTTACCATTCTTCCAAATATCTAATTGTTAGCATGTGCTTATTTTTCATAACTATAATGTTCCATATTAATTGTAGCTCCCATGGTTGCATGTTATTGCTTTTTACGGTAAATGTAATTTGTTTTGATTTATTACTCTTTCCAATTCAAATGAGCAGTTTTCAATTAAATAAAATTAGTGTTGGAATATTCTTGTGATTGATTTGTGTGGGAATAATGTACATAATTTTCTAGATCTTTTATTTTTATATGTTTAAAATTTAGGTAGATCAATCTAAGAAAGAAATTAGTTCCTTGATGCTTAACAAAGTGTGGAGCAAGTATTTGGTTTTTTGGTGCAAGAAAAAATCGAGAATTTTATTAGAGCCCTTAGAATTAGTTCTTTCTCTATTATTTCACTTTTATATGTTTATTTTATTTATTTATTTATTTGTGAATGTCTTCTCCTTGTTTCCTTTATCATTTCTTTGTATTACATTGCTTAATAGCTATCTTGTTAACTTTAATTTTTAGTAAAAATGTTATTCTCCATTCATGTTTTTTTTTTTGGTCTTAGAAGTTGTTTTATGATAAGCTGATATTGCTCTTTTTTTATATAATCTCATCTAGCTTTCAGTGAGATAGGAATAACTTACAGGGAGTGGGCACCAGGAGTTAGGGTTTCTTATGCATCATTTTAACATTTTGAGATTTTAACCATTAATCTTACTAACTTCTATGCAATCAAAAAAGTCTTATTAACTTCTAGGTGTTTTGTTTTCTCTTCAATTTTTGTGATTAGTTTACTGCATTTTCTTTTTCAGTCAGTAGCATTGATTGGAAATTTTAACAATTGGAACCCTAATGTAGATATTATGAGTCGGGTATGTTATGCTTTCTTGTGCATTGAATTGATATTTTCCATGTCTGTAAGAACTGATCTGCCATTGATGGGTTACTTGACATTAAGTGAAGTTCATAATAATTGAGCAATACTTTAGTAGGTGCACCTACAAGTGATTTTCTTTGATTGCTTTCTGAATCTTCTCCTTCTATACATGACATAAATAATGTAGTCACAAGATGGAGTTGGTGCTGTCAAAATATCAGTAACTCCGCACTTTGTTTCTGAGGCAGCTTTCTTGCAATTTTATATCTATTGATGAACTACATATCATTTATGTTGCTTTTAATGAGCTACTGTCTCCCCTGCTTTTCTCTTTGACTCTGACCAATGTGCTCTATGATGTATGCCTTAAGAAACTGTAGTATTTGCAATACCAGCCGTTCATAAGTAAATGCTTATATCTTCTCTAAATGCACATGCTGAAAGAAGTTAAAAGTTATGTAGTTTGGTTTGTTAAAACACTTAGCTTAATGTTGAATCTGAATGTAAACATGTGTGTTGAGTTACATTGGCAGTGATCTATTGTCTATTTTTATATTTAAATAACAGTTTCAAATCAATAACATGGAAGTTGGTTTGATTGAATTTTATTATGATTCTTCACCCATTTCTAAAACCCATTAAGCAGCCTAAATTTGCAATTAAACCAAAATTTATCTCTAGTTTTCATCATACTGTCATTCAAAGAAAATTTGTCCCACAAAAACCTTCAGTCTTTATCTTTCATGCTACATTTTGATATGGTTAATCCATTTCCTAGTTTTCTTAATATTATCAACTCTGAGATGCAGGAGCCAATAATTAGCACATATGCCAACTTTAGAGATGATGTGCTTCCCCACATTAAAAGACTTGGATATAATGCTGTTCAAATCATTGGCTATTCAAGAGCACTCGTATTATGCTAGATTTGGGTATTATCTCCATCAAAATATCAGCTCATCTTTATTTGTTACTGTTTATGTTTGTTAACTTGTACTAAAATGTTATGTTTTGGATGTAAACAGAGATATTTCTTCAAAATTCAGTTTTGGTTATGGAAACTAACCTCTTCTACTTTTAACAAGTTGCATTTAATATGTTGCAGGTATCATGTGACAAACTTCTTTGCACCAAGTAGTCGTTTTGGAACCCCTGATGATCTTAAGTCACTGATAGATAAGGCTCACAAGTTGGGTCTACTTGTTCTTATGGATATTGTGCACAGGTAATAATTGGACTTGCAGGAGAATATCATTTCTAGAAACACACCCTTTAGCTTTATTAGCTGTTACAGTTTTTGTGCAAACGATTTTTCCTAGCTTTTTCGTACCAAAAATGAATATATAAACTCTTTTTCTTCTTCTTTTCTTGCTTAGACTGTATGGTCATTCTTCCAATAGACTTGATGCAAATATGGCCATGAGAATTTAGGCTGTTATTGGTCATTACTGTTACTATGTCTTTTCTAGTTGTTTTTGGCTTCCTAAAAGGTTTCTAAAGAACAAACCTAAAAGGGAGAAAGCAAAGTCATAATTGTTTGAAAATATATATGATTAAATGCAATAGAATTTGTAGTATAATTGTTCTATTAAAAGGGGAATCATAGTATTTTGTTCTACAAGAGATTATATTTTTTATTTTTAATTCTTTTAAAGTATTATTGTCTTTTCTACCCAAATGTACTTTCTACTTCTGGAAGCAAAAAGCTAGTAGCAAAAACAACTACCAAATGGAATCTTACTGTATTGTTTACAATGAAAGTTTTTATCTTTTGCATGTCGTTAATGTTAAATTCTTTTCTAAGCTGTAGCAAATTTTTATTCAAGTATTTGCTCTATTGCTTGGAGTAAGTAATCTTTTGCTATAAGTCTTAGTTAATTTTTATTCTTTAGTTAAATTAAGTTATTAATTAATTTTGTCATCCATCTTTGTGTCTAACTGATGTTTGATGAATACAGCCATGCATCTAATAATGTGTTAGATGGATTGAACATGTTTGATGGAACCAATGCTCATTACTTCCACTCGGGGTCAAAGTGTCACCACTGGATGTGGGATTCTTGCCTTTTTAATTGTGGAAGCTCGGAAGTATGTACTTCTATTGAGACTTCTCTTAAACAATAGCTAGTTGAAAGATTTTGGCTTCCTTCCATCCTATTGTTTGTAAATATTAATTTTTAGTTGTTGCTTTAGGTACAAAGGTTTCTTCTTTCAAATGCAAGATGGTGGCTGGAAGAATACAAGTTTGATGGGTTCAGATTTGATGTTGTGACTTCAATGATGTACACCTATCATGGGTTGTAATTAATATCTGAGTGAGTTTGCAGATTTTCTATTCTGCTTGGTGTTATATAATAAGTTACTCACATGTTTAGATGTTAATTATCAAAGTTTTGACTTTATGTTATATAGAGAAGTAGAACTGATGTAACATTTGGTTCTTGTAAGCGGTGAAACATCATTTCTCTGTTTGTTTCTTAGCTAAATTCTCTTGAGGACTAAAGGTTTTTAGTGTCATTGCATCTTTATAATGTATTATCCTGGCTAAACCTTTGTTTTCTTGAACTTGCTGTAGGTAGCATTTACTAGAAACTACAATGAGTACTTCTGAAATGCAACTGATGTAGATGTTGTTGTCTATTTGATGCTGGTTAATCATATGATTCATGGGCTATAACCTGAGGCTGTCACCATTGGTGAAGATGTATGTTCTATAACTCCTCTTTGGGTCACATTGAGCATACTTCGACTTATAATCATTTATCTTTTCTAGAATTATGATGTCTGCTTTAAGTCCCCTGTCTCTTCTACAGCAATATTTGTTGAATTGGGTTGCGTAAATGGAATGGGGTTTCAATACTTTTTTATGTGATCCATGAGGATGCTAAGTGTAGAAATGGTTTTGAAAAAGTTTGCACACGTACTTGTGTGTGCGAAGCCTACCAAACATTTGTGTATTGTACATGTTTTTCTAATTCTCTACTACTTCATCACTTCTCTTCATGCATCAATTGAATCCATATGCCATGAATAAGTAGGTTACCTTGCTGGTAGTTAAGTGTTTTGATATTGTAGAATGAACTAAAGAGTTGTTAAAAATGGTTGTTGTAAATTGAACTAATTTTTATTATAGACCAAGAGTTCTGGAAACATAGCAACTAAAGATGCCAAAAATGAAAATTCCAAAAACACTTGAAGGGAACAAACAAGCATCTCTAGAAATCTTAAAATATCCTTGCTTTTCACATATTTCATCTTTGGTGCAAATAATTCACCTAAAGAGCTACTAGCAAAATAAAAGGTAATTTATGTTTTACCCTTTAGAAATATTAGCATAGTAAGGAACATTTAATAGATAAAATGTTTATATTGGAGTGATTTAGTTGCAGATTTTCATATATTATTTGCACAAATAACATTCTTTAAGTTATATTAATTTTGAAAAGGAAAAGAAACAATAGTTGAAGGTAGACTTCCACCATCTTAAAATGTCATCTGTCATAATAATCAATTCTCCACTGCTTTTCTTTTTGACTCAGACCCATGTGCTCTAAGAAGTATGCCTTAAGAAACTGTAGTATTTGCAATACCAGCTGTTCATAAGTCAATGCTTGTATCTTCTCTAAATGCACATGCTGAAAGAAGTTAAAAGTTATTTAAGTTTGGTTTGTCAAAACACTTAGCTTAATGTTAAATCTGAATGTAAACATGGATCTTTTTATTTGTATGTGGGCATGAATATTCTTCTTAATGGCCCAAAGATTGGGTGTATAGTTTGGTGCAGTTGATATTCTTAAAAGCTCCAAACAGAAAAGTTAAGAAGATAAATGTTGTCAAAGTTTTTATAATTAAGTGCAAAAGCCACCTTGCTTATGTAACAATTAATTGTATCAGCTAATTCATATATTTAATGCCATGCAGTCTCAAGTATAAAAGGGAAGGTGACTGTGTTCTAAGTGCTTAGAAAGCTGTGTTGATTTACATTGGTAGTGATCTATTGTCTATTTCTATATTTAAATAACATCTAGTGTTTAATTATACAAATATTAATGGTTTTTTAACAGAATGAGTTTGGTGTCTGGGTGATCTTTTGGCCTAATAATGCTGACGATTCACCAGCAATTCCCCTTGGTTCTCAAGTGAAGGTAAATTACCTGTAGATGAACATAAGTTTGGCTCTTGAAACTTATTGTGCTTACATTCAAATGCTACTTGTTTATTATTTCCTTTTTCCACTTTTTATGTCAGAGTAAAAAGAAACTATAAAAACTTGCAACTTTTTCCCTGTAGATCAACAAGGTATTTAACCTTTTGATCATGATCTGTGGACCAGGAACCTTTAAGTATGATGCTTTTTTTTAACACTGATCCTATTGCATGTGTATATGGTTTGACTAAATCATTGATTGTACTACAACCTTCACAATAATTAATTACTAGAATTCATGACATAAAGGCATTGAAGTATTTAGTGGGGTGGTCTCCAAGTCAAGCAAAATTATTCAAGGTAGCTGAGTTCAAATCCAACTAACTCCCGTCCTAAAAGGAAGGGAGACAAAAAGAAAAGATGAAGATGAAAAAAAAAACCGTTTTTCTGGTGGACTGTTATGATCATGTCAATTATCATTCATCCAAACCTCTTTTTCCATGTGTACATCTTAAGTTTTTGACCATATAATTGTAGATTCGTATGGAAGCTCCATATGGGATTAAAGACTCCATTCCTGCTTGGATCAAATTCTATGTTCCAGTACTAGGTGAAATCTCATACAACGGAATATACTATGATTTGCCAAAAGAGGTATAGTTGATGGCTATTTGCTCTTTTGGTTTTGTTGGAAAGATTAGATAACTTATTCTTTTCAAACTATAAGCAGCTGAAATATTTGGAGCTTGGGGAAAATCCGAAATACCAACTAATGTTTATGATAATTTTAAAATGACTACAGGTGTGTGAAGATACATAGACAAAAGCATGCATGCATGCCTGCACACAAATATGATTAATTGATTATATAAACAAATAATGAATACATAGACAAAGCATGCATTCATCTTAGAGTAGGTTGTTTTGATGAACGTCTTCCTTTATAACGTTAATATTAACATCACTGCCCTTAAAGGTTTTTAAGAAAACAATTTTGATTGGTTCTTTTTCATATATAAAGTCAGTTTTTAAATTGTGTTCTCGCTTGTTCAAGTTTAATCACTGCACAGCACAGTCAACTTAGTTTAGTCTGTAATATATGTCTTATCTCAAATTTTTGTAGACTTGATTTTTATACTGTAATAGGAAAAGTATGTATTCAATCACCACTAGCCAAAAAGACCAAAATCACTTAAGTCTATGAATCATATGTTGGAATGAGTAGCATGGTATGCATCTTCCTTTCCCTTGCATGTAGCAAATTGTTATTCAACTCTTTTGTCTCTGCACTGAATTGCATTTCCTTGATTTATTTAATCTTAAAAGAGGAAACCTTAAGTTTGATAAAAAGCTTCATTAAATGCTATCATGTGTGGGATCATATTTTTTATGCTATTTCTTTCAACCTTTCCTATGAAGTGTTCTTGCAAGGTTTTGAGACTAAAAAGTAAAGTAGGAGGTTTTATAAGACAATACATTTTACAAGAAAACTTATCTTAATATTTGTATTTAAACTATCAATTTTACCCCCCCCCCCCCCCCCCCCAAAAAAAAAAGGAAGATAGAGAGACATTTTGACTTGCATTGAACATCTTTAAGAGCATCAAACAGTATAGCTGTCTGGAAAGGCTTGTAAATTTTGAAACGGAGCTTTCCTACATCCCGTAGGCAGGGTGGCCTCTCTTAAAGAGAAAATCTGTCAAATTAAGTTAGCAAAAAGCCACGTAAGTGTATACGACCTACTTTTCGTGTTCTTTGGTTAAAGGAAGTTCTTCCATTTGGATTATACTAAATAATGAGTATTACTTTAGTTAATGATAATGCAAATGCCTAACAGCTAGTGACTTGGGTCTCTGTTAACTGCTTTCTGTATAGAAATATCTTAAATAGCAGTTTCAAATCAATAACATAGAAGTTGGTTTGATTGCATTTCATTATGATTCTTCACCCATTTCTAAAACCCATTAAGAAGCCTAAATTTGCAATTAAACCAAAATTTATCTCTAGTTTTCATCATACTGTCATTCAAAGAAAATTTGTCCCACAAACACCTTCAGTCTTTATCTTTCATGGTACACTTTGGTATGGTTAATCCATTTCCTAGTTTTCTTAATATTATCAACTCTGAGATGCAGGAGCCAATAATTAACACATATGCCAACTTTAGAGATGATGTGCTTCCCCGCATTAAAAGACTTGGATATAATGCTGTTCAAATCATGGTTGTTCAAGAGCACTCATATTATGTTAGATTTGGGCATTATCTCCATCAAAATATCAGCTCATCTTTATTTGTTGCTATTTATGTTTGTTAACTTGTATTAAAATGTTATGTTTTGGATGTTAACAGAAATATTTCTTCAGAATTTAGTTTTTGTTATGGAAACTAACCTCTTCTACTTTTAACAAGTTGCATTTAATATGTTGTAGGTGTCATGTGGCAAACTTCTTTGCACCAAGCAGTCGTTTTGGAACCCCTGATGATCTTAAGTCATTGATAGATAGGGCTCATAAGTTGGGTCTACTTGTTATTATGGATATTGTGCACAGGTAATAATTGGACTTCCAGGAGAATATCATTTCTAGAAACACATCCTTTAGCTTTATTTGTTGTTGTAGTTTTTGTGCAAACGGTTTTTCCTAGCTTTTTCGTACCAAAAATGAAAATATACTCTTTTTCTTCTTTTTTTCCTGTTTAGACTGTATGGTCATTCTTCCAGTAGACTTGATGCAAATATGGCCATGGGAATTTAGGCTGTTATTGGTCCTTACTCTTACTATGTTTTTTCTAGTTGCTTTTGGCTTCCTAAAAGGTTTCTAAAGAACAAACCTAAAAAGGAGAAAGCAAAGTCATAGTTGTTTGAAAATATATATGATTAAATGCAATAGAATTTGCAGTATAATTGTTCTATTAAAAAGGAATCGTAGTATTTTGTTCTACAAGAAATTATATTTTTTATTTTTAATTCTTTTAAAGTATTATTGTCTTTTCTACCCAAATGTACTTTCTACTTCTGGAAACAAAAAGCTAATAGCCAAAACAACTACCAAATGGAATCTTACTGTATTGTTTACAATGAAAGTTTTTATCTTTTGCATGTTGTTAATGTTAAATTCCTTTCTAAGCTGTAGAA